TTTGGCTATGGGCAGAGATTGCAGGGAGGGGGACATTTTTTAACACGATTTTACTACTGTCATGGAAGAGGAGCGGGTCGGCTCCTGTCAAGGAGGACTCTACCTATGGTTGAGGGGTGTGGACCTCTTGAAATAACATTCAAAAGCCTTGGATTAGTGGTGTGAATCTTGATAAGCCCATTTATTTAGATTAACTGGTGTTGTGACATCAATGGTATTGTAACAGCAAGAGTGATGATTAATGCATTGGTACAGGAAACTCAGCCAAAGAAATATTCCAGATACAAAAGAAAGAACGCCCCCGAGCCAGCGTGCTCTCACTCCCAGCCACCTACTGCAGTAAATAATATGGGTTCGAGTTGGTTACCTATGCACGATATGCACATTTCGTACCGTTTGGTTTAATCCAGCCATAAACTTACTATCAGCATACGGACCTGACCCTATCACCCTCCAAAAAGGTTCAATTCTGCACACATAACGGCCAGCAACCATCAAGTTTTCTGACCTGGCAGCAGCTAACCAAAGCACTCGTTCTGAGTAAAGTTATTGCTCCGCAATGAAACGGTTTTAACTTTCAATGACAGTCAATTGATAATACAATTTACCTCTGAAACTATCCCAAAAAGAATCAATAATTAATTATGTCAACCAAAACCTCAGATTCAACAAGCATTTTTTTTAAATGTACACGAAAGCTTCGGAATCGGAAAGCGATCGGAAAGCGATCGGTTGGTGGTGTCCCCCCCCCCCCCCCATCCCCGACCCCGGCTACGCCACTGCGAAGAAGCACGGTTCAAACGTAATAACATGGTACTGTGACTGCAATTTCAGTGCGGGAAAGTAGGAAATTCATTTAAACTTCATTGCACAGGCTAGAAAAGGCGTACAAGCTGTTGAAAATAAGCTGTTGACCTAATTGGTGATTTTTTTTGGTTTAATTTTTTTAATGAAATATAATTTACGGATCCTTCTTCTTGCCTTCAATGGCCTGGGGGAAATTGCAAAATTTCGCTTCTTTAAAGGTGTAGACCAGTAAATAGGCCCAGAATTGCCTAGCGGGCCAAATCACAATTTGTATGCCCTCATTTACTCTGTTTTTTAGAGCATTTTGTGGACCATGAATTTGAGGGTTTGTAGGCAAAAAAGATGGATGGTAGCCGTGCACCGGAGTGCGAGCTCGTATTTCTGTGAAATTTGGATGAAATTGGGCCCTAAAAT